TCATTATATTAAGTCTTCATAAATATAGTGAAGCTTTGGGTCACGAATGGTATTCGTTCTTTATGGCAGTTCGTCACAAGACGTGTTAGTAAATCGAAACTATTTTCCACATAGGGAAATAATTTAAAATGGATTAATTCGTTCTTGAATTACAGTTTATTCCTTACATAAATGTTTTCACAATACATTGTGCTCAAAATCAAACATAGACAAAAACACACATAAATAAAATATTAATCAGATAAAATAGATGAAAATTTACTTTGATTTTATTGCATCTGTACGAAGGACAGTTGATAGCACAAATTCAAGATGGTGAGAAAATGAAGCTGAAGAGATATGATTGCCTGAATTTAGAGTGTACTCTTCCATTAAAAATCGGCTAGCAGTTTTCTGTGAGCTTTCTTTTTGTACTTACTTGTCTCTTAACGCCACTCGACTCTCCTGGAAACTCGCTGGGCATGTGTCTCACTAAAAACTTCTCCAGTGATTTGTTTTTGTTTATGTTTGAGTACCCTTCTAAAAAGAAAAAGAAAGGTCATTGTCAGTGAAAATGTTTTAGGTCTTAGTACTTCAAATCGGATGCCTTTTAAAATTCGTTTTCAATCAGACAAAATAACTTTTTTTTATTAATATAAACAACTTTAAATTTCGAAAGTTATTCAGCGCACATCATGATTTCTATCATAAACAATAAAAAATGCAATAATTAAACTGCATATATAAAAAACCTATCTATATTTATGGCATTTGCTTTGCGGTCTCAAGGAGCGACCACTGAGCCGCTACAGCATTGTGTCACAATGCTCACAATCTTCTAGAGGCTCGGTGGTCGCTCCTTGAAACTACTGCTTTTCACAATGGCGTTTGCTTGCTTTTCAAATAGGAATGTTTATTTTTACCCGTATATAGATGAGGGGCTTTGAAACCACAGAGTTATTTTATTACTAAACAATACATCCACCTACCCTGTTGAAAGGTCTTCCTTTTCCAGAGATTTTTCTCTGACCTCAACACGCTTGCTTCCCAAGCTAGTATTGTGATTTTATAAATTATTTCATCTGGTTTAAATTTAATGTAAATATACTTTGCTATAATTAAAAATAGAAACCGCGTATAAGTTTTATTTAAATTTAAAAAAATTTTCTAAATATTTTGGGACGAAATACGAATAAAATAAATATGAATGGGAAACGAATGATCCGTACCAAAGCCAAAAAGGCCAAGCCCCCTATTAACATAAAAAACCACAAATTTAATATGTCAGACGAAAAGAAACTAAATAACGCTGGACATATACCAGTGAAATTTAAATCCAGGCAGTGTACATTTTGTAGCACAAGGAAGAAACCTCAAAGAACAAGATACATGTGCAAAACGTGCCGTGTGGGTCTATGTATGTACCAAAAAGACAAAACATGCTTTGAACAGTGCCACAAAAAAATTTTTTCTTCGAAATTAAAAAACAAAAACACTGAATCTTTTTTATCCTTATTTTACTGAGTTTTATCCATTTAGCCAAACGTCCTTATTATGTAGTTACTTATAGTTTCACTGCTATAAAAAATTACATAAATATTTATTTTTTAATTTTTAACTCACGATTTACTTTGTAAAATAATGTAAAAAAATTATATATAATGCAATTCTTACATGCATTTTTTTTTAATTCGTAAATTTTGTCATTTATCGGAAACGCGCACGGAGAAAGGTGAAAAGTAAGTTTTTTTTTCCTACTACCTCAGTAAGTTTCAAAGTCCTAGACGCACGGTGATTTCACAGTGCGACCACCACCCACAAAACAATGGGCAAGAGTAGATTTTTTTAAATTCATATATTACTTGTCTTTAGGATAATAATATTGAATTGACAGAGTTTTTATTTAAAAAAATTTTAAAAATAATATCTCGCGCGTCAAAGGATTAATAAAGGCAAACTTTGTAAATTTTACACGCGAGTGTATTTTTTTTTTTTTTTTTTCAGCATACTCTATTTCAACCAATCGAGATATTTTTGTTTTTATAGAATTAAAATTTTACTTTTCAGCCATATAATGTAGTTTTTCAGAATGTTTTTATGGGGTGGGTACAGTTTTTACTTTAACAGAGTTAAATAACGGCATTTTTAATTTTATAACTTTAATTAAAATCTAACTTTCTCGGCCGTATTAATTCCGTTTAGTCAACTTCCAAAACTTCCCTATTTTACATTTTAAAATTAAATTGCAGAGGTTTCTTTCACCATTCTTCAAATTTGTTACAACACACGAAGGGAAGTATGGCTGAAAGGATATTTTGTGTATGAATTTATCAAAAAATTACACTGTAAGACTGATACAAACAAACAAACTCAGAATTTGAACAGTAAAGATGAAATTTATTTTTTAAGATTTTATTTTAAATAACACGATATTTAAATGTCAAAAACCCGCCCTACATTTCTATTCTTTCATCTACTCCACCACATTATGTAAACGAAATGAGTTTTAAATAGAAAGGAGAATCTACGATTAGAAGAGCGGTTTGGCTATATCAGCTTGCCTTAGTGATACTCTTCTGTTACTATCTGCCTTGAACGCTGTTGCTTCCAACTGGTGAGATTGACTTTCATTAAAAATAATCTTTGTATTCGAGGAATATCACAATCACGATACTAAGCTATAATTTTAAAGATTGATCTGCAGATACTGTGAAATAACTGTTGTTCGTAATTCCTACCAGAACAGAAAATTAATTATGTAATTTGTTTCTGATCATGTTACCAGAATAGTTAAGTTTCTGATTTTCAAGCAGAAATTCAAATTAATTTCTTTTCTTATTTTCTATTATTGTATTTGTTCTGAAACAAAATTTTGTCTGACAGTCTAAAGGGTTAGACTAAGGTTACGTTTACGTGAAAGTGAATTTGAGTTCATATTTTTAACCGTTTATTGAATTGTAACTGGAACAGTAACGCAGCAAAATTTAAATCCAGAGTAAATCTTAATGATATTTTATATAATATTGTTACGAATTTGGTATTTAAAAAGCTAATGTTAGTTCAATTATAAATTAAATGGTTTTATTTCTCGCGCAGTGCAGCGCGTGACGAATATTAAAAGAAAGCTAAGCCGGAAAATTGAAAATACAAGAGCGCGTGCATTAAATAAATAAATATCTCTTTTTTGATTTCGAGAAAGTACTGGAAAATTCTAACGCGTGATATTAAAATCTTATAAAAGGAGGAAAACATCTCAGTTTGTATTAGTTGCTTAGTTTGTTGTTGTTTAGAAAACTGCTGTTGTTGATTGTAGCGAATTCGCGGATTAGCGTTCTTTAGCTGTTTTGAATTACGTTCTATTGGACATTTCAGTAGTTAAAAGATACCTACAGTGAGATATTGTAATACTGCATGATAATTTGAGAAAATTTAAGCATTTTTGTTGTGATAATAATAAATTTTTGTGCATTCATTTCATAACGAACCCGTGCGCACGCAACAATTTTGGTGTCAGAAGTGGAATTTGAATGCCAATAACCGAGCGATGGAAGAACAATCAGGAAATGATGACGCATTTGCTGCTTTCCAAGAAAAGATGGAAGGAGCCGTCATCTCCGTTAAAGAGAAATTAAAGGCGGGATGACATTGGGCCAAGATCCGTTAAGGAAGAGATGAAGGCCATTCAACCTGGTCAATTAACTTTAAAGACGAAATAAAAGCCGTACAAGTAAAGATTGGAGAAAGTCAATACGAATGAAAGAGAAATTGCCTGCATAATAGAACCAAATTCGATGCTATGGAAGGTAGAATAGATGTGGTTGAAAATTAAGTTGGGCAAATTCAAGAAAAGGTTTATTCTGTCAAAGATGAAATAGAAGATAGAGTGTCGGCTGTGGAGCGACGAGTCGAAGGAAGAGTTTCGGCCTTCCAACAACAAATTGAAGAAAGTTACTGCCGTCCAAGGACATATTGAACAACAAATCGAAGACAGAATTTCTGCTGTCGTCGCCAAAGAAGTTGACACTTTAAAGAAATTCGTAACGACGGCAGGGAGCACTTCGGATGGTTTAAAATTTCTACCCATGCCTGCTCGTCCCTCTCTGAAGCTATCGACATATGATGGGAAGACCTCCTGGCAGGTGTATAAGACAAAATTTTCTATCGTGGCGGATGCGAATGGATGGGATTCCCCAGCTAAGGTCTGTCATCTCGCCGCTTCTTTAAGAGCCGACGCAGGGGATATCCTTCAGACTCTTCCCGAAAACAAAAGGTTAGATTTCGAAGCTCTGTCCGGCGCCTTGGAGCTGCGCTTCGGGGAGAAATGTTTAAAAGACTACAGCAGGTTCCAATTAAAATCCCGTCAACAGAAGCTCACCGAAACACTTCCGGAGCTCGCCACGGATGTTGAAAGGCTGTCACATCACGCCTTTTCCGAGTGCCCGACAGAAACAAGGGAAATCCTGTCCTGCAATATTTCATCGATGGCATCCGGGACCCTGAAATACAGAAAGCACTGCGAATGGCGGATGTTAAAGATCTGAAAGCGCTTTAGTGTACGCCATGAAATTCGAGGCAGCCCAGCAAGCCACCCTTCGAGACCGCCATCCAGTCAGAGCTGCTCAGGTCCAGGAGCCAGGGGATCAAGTCACTGCTCGTCTAGACGATTTAACTAGACAACTGAACGCCTTGAGACGGAATATTGGTGACAGAACCGACCGTAAAGTGCTGGAACTGCGGTGCTGAAGGACACATACGACGAAACTGCAGAACACCCCAGGGTACGGATGTTAAACCGCTCCTAACAAACAGCAGAAACTAATTAGTGGCCATCTCGCGGGGCGGAGGTTGCCAGATAATCAAAGCCCAGTTAGCGCTTATTTTCAGTGAGGGGCATATGCTTTCTATAGGCTTTAGATTCCCTGAAATGACGATAGATACAGAGCCAAGTACATCATCAAAAATTTGCTGACACTGGAACACTTATTGGAGCCGCTACCCTACAACGCGCCAATGCACCATTAATGATAGCAGCCGAAAGGGACTTTGTAGCAATACTATTAGAGGTACTAAATCTAACAGTGGTTCTGGTTTCAATCTACTCTCCACCAACAGAAGAAGCAGACCCCACATTAGAACGCATACAACGATTGATGAGATCGCACCGAATAGCTAACATACTATTTGCTGGAGATTTTAACGCACACAGCACCACCTGGGGCTATGCAATCACAGCTCCTAAAGGCCGCATACTCGAGGACTTTGTTCACAGCAGTAACCTCGTAATTCACAATCGTTCGGATGCACCGCCTACATTCAATAGACTACACTCGCGCGGCTGGCCAGACCTTACCATCACCACCCAACAGATGGCACCCATACTGCAAGACTGGACAGTCGTCGAAAACCTTAGTATCTCCGACCATAATTATATACGGTTTAATCTAGCAAATAGCACAGCCACCTCTATTCTTAAACGGTACAATCTCCCTGGACGGAAAGTTCGAGCATTCACAGCCATCATTAGAGCCCGTCTGGCACCTTTTGCAACCGCAATAAGACAGGCCAACAGCAAAGAGGCCCTCCAGAACCTCACCCAAGACATCTTAACCGCAATCCAGAAGGCATGTGATGAAAATCTCCCCCTGCGCACGGCCAAAAGAATCACAACGCTGAATTGGTGGAATGGCACGCTTCGAAGTCAACAACAACGGTGTCGTGCTCTACGGCGACGCCTAAAGCAAGAGCGCAGACATAACCTAGAAACCTTCCACCCTGCTCATTTACCAACGGGAGCGAGCACTCTATAAGCGAATGATTCTGGAAGCTAAGATAAGCAGCTGGAGAAAATTCTGCACAGAAACCACGACCACCTTTGGTATCCACCACAAAATCGCAGCTGGCAAACTCTTCAAACCGGCAACTCTCTCTACCTCCAGCCAACGCCAAATACTAATGACCATCTCACGGAGGCTACGTTATCAGAGATCCTAAGGACAGTCTTCACCAAGGACAACCCGACAGGAAGACACAGCCTTTCATACCATCGTCCGAAACCAGCCTCTTGAAATAAATACCATGGATGACCCTGATATTACAACTGCAGAAATACTCCAGGTCCTGCGCCAGCTTCCGCAGCGTAAAGCACCTGGACCAGATGGCATCGACAACCGGATAATAAAATTAATAGTGCGAACAAATGTCAACATCTTCCAACTGCTATTTAATCAGCTTCTTCGTACCGGGACATTTCCCAGGTGTTTCAAAATCGGTCATGTAGTCTTGTTCCTGAAGAAGAACAAAGATCCTACGAGACCAGAGTCATTCAGACCGATCTGCTTACTCTCTACCCTGGGTAAAGGTTTTCGAAAAGATACTCATGACAAGGCTAAGACACCATCTGCACAGAACCCGGTTCCTGAGTCCAATTCAATTTGGCTTTAGCCCAGGTAAAATCAACACTACAATGCCCTGAATGGAAGTCAAAAACCAAATACTGGCTAACAGATCCTCTGGCTACCACACAGCGTTCATTTCAATAGATCTTAAGAGCGCTTTTGATACGCTGTGGTGGCCAGCAATATTACAAGCTCTACGAACCGCTAACTGCCCAAGCAATATTTACAACACCATCGTAAACTATTTAGCGGACCGCCGGCTGATCCTTCCACATAACAGCGGAATTATAGAACAAGATCAGACACAGGGATGCCCGCAAGGCTCATGCGCCGGACCGTTCCTATGGAACATAACCTTCAACGGAGTCCTCAACAACCCATGGCCTGACCATACAAGGATCATCGCTTACGCAGACGATACAGCCCTAATCGTCAAAGGAAGAACCAGGGAAACAGCTCCAGGCCAATGCAATCGAATCCTGCTCCCTTTTTCAGGAGAGATGCACAGCCCTAAAACTTCAAATAGCAGAGGCCAAATCTCAAATTTTGCTCGTCCCAAAAAAAGGCGGATCGCTGGCAAGACAGCCAAGGATAACTTTAAACGGACATCGCCTCCGCATCACTCCAGTGCTGAAATATCTAGGAATCCTCTTCGACACCAAATTAAACTGGATCCCCCATGTGCTGGAGCTGAAAAAGAAAACTGCAAGATTAGCCCAACAACTAAGATATATGCAGGGCTATAAATGGGGTCTCAATCCCTATATCCAGAAAACGCTTTACACAACAGTAGCCGAGAAAGTTATAACTTATGGAGCGGCTGTTTGGTCAGCGCCTATGCAGGGCCGCAAAGTCAAGCATCTACTTAGCATACAAAGGCCTTTTCTCCTGAATGTCACCAAGGCCTTCCGAACATCCCCTACAAATGCGTTATGCGTACTAGCGGGATTGCTACCGCTCCATCTGAGCGTAGAAAAGGAAGCAGCCTATCAGGAGATCACTCAACTTGGCAATCTAACCACCTTCAGAGACGAGCTATACTCACCAGCCGAATTTGAACAAAGATGATA